TTACACTTTATTTGGTTTACATGTGTTCAACTGTACCCTCTTTACAGTGTAAAGTACTTAGTAACTGAGACCAAGCCTTTAAATTTTTTACATATTTTTGTATAGCATATCTTCAGTTAGAATTGAGTGACTATTGTGATGGCTTTTCATTTAAATTACTTGTATTGATTTATTTATCTATAAAGTAGTACAGTATATAATGGAAAAGTATACTGTCAAGGGAATTCATGAAGACTGAATGACCACCAGAGTCAGCCAGGAAGTAGTTTGCTGGTGATAGACTACGGGACTTTACACTTGACCCTCTCTTACTTAGTCTCAATGTATATAATTAAATCCTGAGGACACAAAGCTGGTCTTATGGTGATGCTAAAATGAATTAAATAATCAAACCCCAGAAGTTACTGATAAGGTCAATTTAAGCTAATAATTTTATATTTAAAAGGAAACAAAAAGTAAAGTCTTACTCTCAGATATAATAACAATACCAATATTAATAACTGCTCAAGCACAAAAAGAAGGAGATACGGCCTAGCAGCAGCACATATGTTTTAGAACACTTTTGGATAAGAACTTATCTCAAATCTACTTGAGTTATTTGTGATGATGAAGGAATTAAAAACTAGAATAAATGGGCGAGAGAACTGGTGAGATCCAGCACAAAAGAGAGGATTTACTGATGGCAAATATCACAAGGAAGAGGAATTTAAATTGTTTTGGATGACTCCCAGTGGTTGATGGAGAATTGGTGGAAATTTCAGAAAGTCAGGTCATTATACAGAAAAGTAGACTAGTAGGTGAAATACTGCTTCTGAATTTAAGTCCTATATTCTCTCACTCATATTAGAAATCCTAATCACCAGTAGGAAACTCAGAGTATATGGGAACTGCTTCTTGGGAAAGATGTAATCGTGGTGTTTTAAGCATCTTTAATTGATTAACCTAAATAACCTTTGATGACACTGCTGTTCCTTATTTTGTGACAAAATGGAGCAACTATTAAGGTAACTTTTTGTGAAATAGGTTGGAATCAAGATAAGAAAGATATGAAGAAAGTTGCGGGGGCATAGATAGAAAATACAATATTTGGTAGAAATAAAACTCTTATATGTAACTTCATTACCTAAAGTAATAAATAGTTCACTGACTTTGGAGGATTTTCCTCTGATGCCATTGGACTGCTAAAGTAAGTTTTATATCAAATAGAAAAAGGGTTTTAAGAAGAAAAAAGATTTTGAAAAGAAGTCCTCAAAAAGGCCAATTTCATATAAAATGTAAGCAAGCATCAAAAAAAAAAAAAAAAAAAAAGGTGCACTACAACGAAAAATGTGACTGTAAACAAAAAAGCACCTTACAGTGAAGGGCACTGTATACCAGCATAATTAAGTCCTTTATAATAACAACACTCCTCTGATACATAAGACAAAATACTGACACAGAAAGGCTTAAAACAAATGAAAATGTACCCTATCAAAAAAAAAAAAACTTTTTGAAGCTACTTAAAGAATATTCTTTATTGGATTCATTCAATGCTTTTAATGTAATCAACTAGAATTACATTCAAGTGCTGCCTTCTATAACTTTTTGAAATGATAAATTTGATTCTTGATGGGGAATCTGCATTTCATCACAAGGATAAAATCCAGTGTCCTTGGCCAAGATATTCTTCACAGAAGTAGGCTATTTTTGTATTTTATGCTTAGCATATTTAAAGACACACAGTCCAGGTGAGTAACTTGCTCCAAAATGCACTCAATCTTTATCTGTGAATAAGGCTCCATTGCTTCAGCACCTACCCTTCGACGGATCCTTTTTCAATACTCTCCTCAGTGACTATCCTGAAAATTTTTCTGGAGAGCCTACTGCAGGTACCTTCACGTGTACCAATACTCTTTGATGCCAGGTAAACTGACAGTTGTCATGACCAGAGGTTAAGTGTGGTGCAAATGATGTGGCAGAAGATTGAAAAGTATGTAAAAGAATATTACAACAGAATTCTAGCTGGTTTAGAAAGCAAACAGAAAATATCTCCCAGCTTAACTTTGATATAAAATGAAATAAGAAAGGGTTATAAAAACAGTTGGGGCATTCAAATAATAGGATGCCCCAACTGTGATTGTAAAGTCCATCAAAATTAACCATGGAAATGAAGGTACACTAATCTAGTCACTTAGTACTTTTACTATACGATGCTAGCTTAACTATACGAGCTATTCTTCTAATACTAGCTTAACTATGCTAACTTCTAATTTAAAAAACTATGATGATAAATTTACTACAGAATGGCTAATTTGGAAAGGAGAGGTGAAGGTCACTGGAGGTTCCAGAATTTCTAAGCTCCAAATTGTTAATATCCAAACTGGCCTCTTTCCTAAATAGTGCCCAGATGGCAGAGACAACACTGATATGTGGTCTTAGCTGCTTTTTGACAAGGAACTGTCACCAGTAGGTGACCCCATCAGTCTGAAGGCAGGAAAATTACTAAATGATGCAAGGAAATGCCTGCAGGCCAGTACACCGTGGGTCCCTGAGAAGCAGGAGGGCAGAACCTCAGGAAAAATGAATTTTCAGCTGGTGCTTATACAAAAGAGACTGTTACGTTTCTTTGCAGATAGGAGAAAATAAAATCAATTTCATTTCCATACATATTATGTCTAATAAGAATAGGAACAAATTCTCCTTGAGAGGAAATAAGATCATATGTAAAAGGTAGGGGAATGGCGTCATCTCTTGATAATAGACACGAAAGTTAGCTCTGACACTGCTCTATGAACACAACGTAGTCTAGAATCAACTACTACAATAGTATGGAGACATAATCTCTGTCGCACAAAATCAGTCAGAAGGCAGAAAGGAAATAAAGTAATCCAAATTAATATGGGGTGAAATTTTAATATTAGCCCTTCCTGAACAAAATTGGCAAACACAAGTCAAATTAATTTTCCAAAAACATAATTCTACTTGTCAGAAAGCAACCCACTATAAGCAATTATTTTTAGCAAAGTGATGCAACTGAAAAACAAATTGAAGATAGATAGGGATGTCTTTACTCTTCACTACCCCAACATAAAATGATGCTATATTAAAATATGGGAAATAAAACTAGGGTATAAAAGTAATGAACTATTACTTTTGGAAAGAGGAATTTATACTTCTAGTATCTATAAACTATTACCTAGCTCAACGGAGGGAGAATTATTTAATATTTAAATAAATCACATTCCATCTAGATTTTGCCATTCCCTTGTAGAGAGATCTAATGCTGATAATTAACACATCTTTAATTTGTGCTTTCAAGATGTTCCATCTAAGCACCAGAGGAAACTATGTTAAACATTAAAAACGTAGGAAATTAACATTAAACATCAATATGCAAGAGATTAGCATTTGAACCTAAAATTGTTTCTTAAAATAGTTATATGAGATTTTGTTGAAAAAGAGATTTGCCATTCACTATTAAAAATCAAGATTCAGAAATATGAGTCAGCTGTTAAAAGTCACAATATTGCGGCAGAAAGTTTTTCCCCCAAAGGCAAATTCCAAAATTATAATGCATAATTCTACATTGTTTTTGTTTGTTTGTCCTGAAAACTCTGCTCCCTTTATAAATTAAAGCATTGGTTTTCATTAATAATCACCATATAACCACATCAGTAAGAATGCTTTTTAATTTTGAAATCAGAGTTCACACCAGTGGCTGAATATTGTGTAACTGTTGCAAGAACATGAAGTCATGCCTTTCTTTCCTGGCCTTTCTTTCAATAATTTGATATTTAAAAATATGAATGCAGCAATATTCTCAAGATTATCTTCCATATGCTAACATATATATATATATATATACATATATATATATACACATACATATGTGTGTGTGCACGCGCACGCGTGTGTGTGTGTGTGTGTGTGTGTGTGTGTGTGTGTGTGAATTGCCGTAGGCAATTGATATTTAATCCAGGTCTCAGTTTCTTTATAGACCTAACAAGGGAGTTAAGAGTGAATGACTCAAAAGTCTCATTTTATCCCCAAATCTGCATAGGCTGAGAGAAGGAGAGTAAGGGAAATCTTAAAAAAAAATACTTTGAGAATTCATGTAAGACTCTATAAAAATCAAAGTTTTTAACCTCAAATAAATCTATTTCTTTTTTTAAGCCATTTTACACCTAATTTCTACTATCCTTTTATTAGTAACTGATCTAACTAAATTCTAATGAGCAAAATCATCGTGTTAGAAGAAAAAGACTAGAAACCAAACTCAAATCTAAGAGGTCACCAGTGCTATTTCTCATAAAACAAGATAATTCTTGGGAGGAGTGAGGGCATCTGGATGATTTTAACATACTTAATAGAAAGAAAATAAATATATGATTTAAGCTATTTACTTTTCCTTTGTATCCGAGGCACCCTAGAATTTGAAGTAAGTTTCTGATATACAGAGGAAGATGGACGCATGAATCCAACATTCCAAGGAAGCTCTGTATGTGAAAGAGGGGGAACCACACACTAGGACAAAGAAGCACCTTCAGCTGTTGGAGACAAGATAAAGCTTTCAAGACCAATTTAGGTGACAGCAAGTTTTGTTGTTTTGGTTTGTTTCCCCAGTTGCTCATATTGGATTAGTCTGTGAAGCTTGGAAAACCACAGCCAGTCATTTAAGGGTAGTATACCACCTTGGGCAAACAAGCCTTTCAAACACAAACTCAGAATGTGAGACAAACATGTAGCCCAAAAACTACAGTTGGATACTACTCACGGAGAGTTTGTATCTTATAGGTTCTTACTATGCCCCAAAACACCATGGGACACAGTTTTCCTACACTATAATTACAGAAGGAGGGTCAAAGGTAATGCCTGGGTGGGTGTGTACTGACAAGGGTAAAATCTGTTGCCCACAGTGCAGGAAATAAATGGGGGGTGGAGGGCAGTATTATGATCATAAAGGCACATCATGCAATATACTTGCTTCCTCTGTACCTTTCTTTCCCAAATGCAATGCCTACCTTCTGTGTGGACTGCAGAGACATAGGTCCAATTGTAACGTTTGACTATGTCAAGCATTGCCCTTGCTTGCAAAGTGTCAGAAGGGACAACCCTCAGGAAGTATTTGTACAAAGTTTTGTCACTCAGGTCGATGCTTGTGGCAGAATACGCAATCTGTGGGATGTCGAAGAGCTGAAGCAGGTTCTGCACTTGAATGGCTACGGAGCTGGAGCCGGGGCCGATCACGCCCGCAATAGGCTTCTTAGTCCTGCCTAGGGGGAGGGACTGGCCGTCAGGCAGGCACCGGTTGAGCCCATCCTTTTCATCTCGAATGGAAATCAGAGAGTCCCTGATGAACTCAATGCTCTGCTCCAGAGCCACGGAGGAGTGCCAGCAGGAGTCCCGGATCTCACTGCCCAGAGTGATGTTGGGCAGCAGGACCGGGTCCGCGTTAATCTTATCCAACGTGTGGAACATGGCTTCCACTCTCTGGATGCCATACTGCTCCCTGATCTCTCCACACTTCCTCTCAGGCACCTTCTCGGCCGGAGGCTGGTGGTGGACTGAAAAGAGGGCTCCAATGATGACATCTCCGTCCATTCTGGCTACCGAGCGCTGAGACGAGGCTCCCGCCAGCAACACTTTCCTGCCGGGTCCTCTGGGAAGAAGGGACATCTCCAAAAAGATCGCTGGGAAAAAAACCAGGAAGAGCCGGACCATTGTGCTGAGGACTCGGTCCACAGCCTGCTGGCCGAGTTCCACGCTGGTCCTGCCAGCCGGTTCTGCGCGCTCACAACGTAGACAGACACCCGACGCCTGCCTCTCCCTGCTCGGTCCTGCTCGCCAACACCGCTGGTTCAACACTTTCGCCGCTTGCACCCCGGCCTCCTTCCCCTCCTCCGCCACCTAGTCCTCCACGACCACCTCCGTGTCCTGGAGACGCTTCTAAAAGGGGAATTCGAGCCCCCTTCTTCACCGGTGCATCAAAGTAAACTGGTCAAGAGTACAATGGGCATCGTGGTGGCAGCCGTGAGCTGGACGCTGCCGACAAAAAAAGGAAGAAAATCAAAGCTCCGTTATCACAAGACCGGTTTCAAAACTCTGGGTCAGTGATGTTAATAGTTGCCCGGTCCATTTCAACACATGATAGCGGCCGGAGGGACAGCTTGAGAGACAGCTGTGGTCAAGGCAGGACGTGGTGCGTCCTGCCCGCAGTGCCCTCATCGGTCCCTGGAGGCGCAGAGCCCCACCGACCCTCCCCCTCCTCCAGCTTCAAGCCTCTTCCAGGTCCCCAAATACCCATTACACTTACAGACTTGGGGGGGGGGGGGAAGGGGAATAAAGGAGGAGGAGCTAGGTCTTCCAGCCTTAGAGAACTTTCCGGATTTGAAAAGATCAACTTTTTCCCAGAAGAAATTTGGAAACTCATTATGAGTGTGGAAGCACTACTTCAAGATGAACGCAAAAAAAGGAATGCACCTTTTACTTTAAATTAAAGCGGTTGAAAAGACCTCAACATACAACCCGAGTAGTAAATATAATTTGCCAGCTTGAGGAAATCCATATTAGTTACTAAGGCAACGCCTGGTAAAGTCTCAGCATGTCGGAGTTTGGTATGTCTCCCACACCCCCCCCCCCCCCATACACACACCCAAGAAGTCAGGCTTACTGTAGATGTTCAGGGAGAAAGGGTGCAGATAAGGTAACTTGATGCCCGCGATGGAGGGTGGAAAGAGGGGGCGGAGGGGGCCCCTGAACCCGCCTAAATCGGGACCTTTGGCTTTGCACATTTCTAGAAAGGGAACGGAGGGGAGCGTCTGGGTAGCTCTTGCAGCGGTAGCTCAAGCTCTGCCTCCTTCAGAACCCTGGACAGTGCTCAGTCCAGCTGCGGAAACATTCCCCTGCAGGGCCTGGAGCGGATGCTTCGACCAGCGAGTTGCAATTCTTTGACACCCCCCACCCCACCCCCGACTTCGCTCTTTTAACCCTCCTTCCTGCGTTCTTTACACACACACACACACACACACACACACACACACACACACACACACACCCCTTTCTTCGCCTCCCACCACCCCTCCATCCTCATTCTCTTTGCCTTGCAGCCAGTGCTCCTGCAGGTATATTCAAACCCGACCGCTTCGGGGGCAGAGGCGCCAAATCTCAGCCGCCTCTGGGGCTGAAGTTGGCTCCCTCTCGTTCCTCCTGGCTCCGTTTCTCAAGGTGAGAGTCGGACAAGAAAGGAGCTAAGGGAGCGGGCGGGGAGCGAGAGCATGAGGTGAGCCAGGCAGGAGGAAGATAACCCAGGCATCCACGGGTCCCGACGCTTCCCGGGGATGCTGGGCTAAAAGAAATTAAGCGGGGATGCCTCTGAGATCAAGAGGAAATCCCACAGACTGCAACTATGTCTGCCACTGTGGGTGGGTTTCACCGCCCAGAGGTGTCTGCTTACCTGGGTCTGCTTGGAGAATTGGACTTGAGACGTACCTGAGTCCGGATAGACAGCGCTATGGTCCTCGGGCCAGAACACCACTCGGGCCACGCTCGGTTCGCAGACGCCTCAGCTCTAAGCCAGACGGTGCAAGGATGCGATCTGGGCTGTACACTAGTGCCCTCTTTCTTCAGCACTATTTTACCGCAAGGAAAAAGAGGGAGGGGGAAGGGGGGAAAAAAACAGGTCACCCAAGGCTTGTCTATTATCTCATGCATAAAAATCAGTCGTTTGATGGTGGGGGGGGGGCAAACCTAGGGAGAAGTGAGAAATATTAATTCCTCTACTACCAGAGGGTTCTTATAGAAGCTGCCAGATATATGAATAGTCAGATCTGATGAAAGAGTGGGGAGCCTCTTAGGATGCTTTAGGTGAATATTCTTTTTATATATTTCAAGGACCCAAATACATGTTCTTTCCCTAGAAGTAAAGCCCCTACGGAGGGAGACAGTTAATACATGTGTAGACATTTAGATAAAGTCTATTAGTAGGTTGCAGGGGAAAGGCTGCATAAGGTGAGAGTAGGGGAAAGAGGGGTATGCACATGATGAATCAAGGTAAGCCAAATGAACAGAGACAAACATTGGCTGCATTTTCCAGGTCAAGATGTAACTAAATTAAGAGGAGAGTCAAGTCACATGAAAACAGTGGAGTGAAAAACACTTATCCAAATTCCTCCCAGGCTGCTATCACCCTCCCGACAGGTCTCCAGTGTTGCTTCATTCTGTGTGAAAAGTGGAAGTTAAATCACATTCCTATGGGAACATGTTGGCTGAGCAGAATGTGTCCCAGCTTCTTCAGAGGGGAAAGGCAAGTGACAGTGTGCCTTTCCACTCTGGCTCAAAGCTTTCTATTTGTGTCATCTGCAGAAAAGAAAGATCAACTTATGTGAGTCCCTTTATAATCACCTTGCTCATGTCATCATTTCCTATGGACTGGTGCCATGTCCATCTGGAAGTGGCAATTCCATGTGGCAGTTTTAAATACTCTTCTAGTGTGTTCCATGAAACTTAGGAAAGAAAACAATACTTCCTGTCAAGGACAGATCCTCTTTCTTGTTCTGGTTCTGGTCTTTTTCCCCAGGTGTCAGATTTTTCTGGACTTTAATTAGACAACATAAAGAGGATAGGACTTTTTTTTCTTTTTCCACAAATAACGCACTGAACCAGGTAATAGCCTTTAGACCTATATGTTCTTGGTTCTGGAAGTAATAGTTTGTTTACTCAAGGAAGATAGGAAGAAGTTTCTATCTTCACACATAGAGTAAAATGATTCTCTACCTGTGCTCTTAGGAAGATGTCTGCTCTAAGAAGAGCAAGACAAAGGTGTTCACAGTGCATCAGAGTATCTCACTTCCTCTGATAGCCATTTAAGTTCCATTTTAGATAATGCTATTCTAGTAAGATAAGCCCTAAATATTATTTTCTTGGAAGATTTCATAGATACGGTGAATGTACAAAAATTCCTGTGCATATATAAAACATTAAACATGATTTGCAGGATTAGAGAAAGAAATGTCTCTGAAGTCCACATTTAGCCTCAATGTGCACTGCTCAAAGCTGAATATTTTTAATATATAACATTTTAATATTGACATAGCTTGGAAAAGAATCTGCTACTAAGAGAATAATTAAACATTCAGATTTATTTGTTTTCAATACAGTCTGAGTAAAAACTATGCATTCAGGCTGGCTGAAACAAATCATTTTAAAGAGGAAAAACTTGGGGATTTTGACATAGGAGGTCTATACATATGTATAAAATATATAGCAGAGGTGTTATGAAAAAATTTTAGTTTCAAACATATCAATTAGATATTATCAATTAAATTCATTGATAATTATTTAAGACCAACTTTAGAAGGCACAAAGACAAAAATAAGGCAAAAGGAAGGCTTTGAGAAAGAAGAAACAACATCAGCTAAATATGCTTTCTCTTTCTAGAGAAATTTGGACTTTACCAAGGCAGGGAGGATGTAATACATGTACAGACATCTAAGGGAAGTTTCCATTAGTAGGACTAAAAAAATTACTAAGAGGATGAGCTACATACAAATTAACAAATATAGGTGATCACACTGATATAGGCATATATGGTAATCTATACAAGTTCAAAGAATGTTAAAGGTACATGAATCCAGAAATGCTGTCAGTATGAATATTTATTCAGTGCTGGTAGTGTAGAATATTACATTCAGCATGTGATTTGTAGCATGGGACAAAGTGTTATGAGCATTTTGGTTCGGAAAATCTATTTCATACAACATGCAATGGAGATCACACAAAAGAATACTCAACATACTCTGTCAAGACAATGATTTAATGTGCTGCTGTAACAATAAACACAACAAAATGCTCATTGTTCTCCCATGGCAATAAAACAGTATTATCCATAAACAAAATTGCGATCATTTTTCTTAGGAATGTATGCACAGTTTTCATTGTTCTCCAATCATAAAGGACATCATAGAGGAACTGGTCTATATTTTAAATGAGCAAAAGGCTATAAAATTTTCCACGTATAATCAGTTAAAAATTCACACTTTTCAAAGTGAGCAAGTATAAGGTTTTGTTTTTTTTTTTTAAAGAAAGAGATGGAGAAGTCAGGCACATATTCCAAATTATCATGTATTCTAGTGGGTGTTTTGAAAAGTAGAGTTTACACAGTCATTGGAATATGGAAGTGAGGCATACACAAGAGGTAACAGACTCATAATTGAAGAGATAGCATTGACTGAAAATAGAAATGGGATCAAAGAAGGCCTTTGTAGAAAATTGATTTATGGAAAATTGATATGTAATGTATTACTAAGGAAATATAATTATGTTCAAGTAGATCAATGTTGTGGAGAGCGAATTCCATGCTTTTTCATAAAATAGCATGTTCCATGGCAATTAATTCAATATAATGTGACATTTCTTATATTCTTATATTTAACTCATGGGTTCAGCAAGATAACTCAAGTCGCAGTGAGATTTTTCAGTTTCTTTATCCAATTTTGTTTGTACATTGCTTAAATCGAGAGAAATTGCTGTCTTCATAGAACTTTATGCTCTGAAGCAAAGGCAATAAAAATTATAAAATAAAATCTCTTTCCTTTCAAAAACTCAAAATATTGTTACAAAACATGATTGATTATCAGAGTAAACAAAACATTTTAAAAGAACTAAAATAAGCCAAATTTAATGTACATTCAATTGTTTTATTGGTATGATTAATTAGGCTGTAACTATATATGCAGACATAGGACCAAAGCATCAGTTTCCATGAGCAAATAGAAATCATCAAAGGCTTTGCAGACTCCTGCAGATAGACTAGAAAACATGCATTTTGCCACATATTGTTCTGTCACAACTGTCCAAACGTTTATTTTTAAAATATTAAAATGCAATTAAAGAGAATAAGGCAAACGTGATTATTCTGGAAGCACATTTTTGGGCCACAATGATTCCCTGTTTTATACCCTGCTGTACCCCATTGTCTAAAACAATGTCTGGTTCATAATAGGGGCTAAAATATTTGTTGAATGAATGAATGGATATGTACTCCCTGAACACTAAAAATATCATCTTTTTTTATGCTTTTCTTCAGGAATATCAAAGCCAGGTAGTTTGTAGATATTTCTAATTTATTCTTCATATAATGTAACAGTAATTATTTTGCAACTATTTCTCAGTTCAAGTAACTAGCCTAACTAGCATTAAATCATTTGAAACATATTTATACAACAAACTTTCTTTCACTTGAAGCCCTGAAATTTGTTTCAAATGTGAAGAAACTATTCTCATTGCTGTATTGCATTTGCAGCAATATCAAATGAAATTTTAAAATTTTTATAAAGGTAAAAAGAAGATAAAACATAAATGGAAGCTCACCTTTATCCGCTGTTGTGGCTATATAATTTGAAAATAACCATTTGAAAGGATTCTCAGAACCATCATATGAGAAGCGTAAAATGGCATATTATCCTAGTCCTATAGAAGTTTTGGAAAATTGAGGCACCAAGAATCTGTTCCTTGCCTAAGTTTAACGAACAAATCAGGGGTAGTGCCACATCATACTACCTTTATCCCAATCCATTAGTTCATAAAAACCAATTCTATGGACTGAGCTAAGTGTTACTTTTCATTCTTTCCTTAAGCCTTAAACTGATGCTGTCTTCTCAGAAAATGCTTAAGTAATAAAGAAAATGAATTTGAATTTCTTTCCTTTGGGTCTTTCATCAGTTGAGGGCATAAGCATTACAGGTGATTGTTCTATTTGCTTAAAATAGCCATCTTTTATAACAGTTCTAATAACAGCAGTAACCTACTTGCACAGGCTCACAGTCAACTTTTGAACAATTAAGAAGGAAACATATCTAAATTTTCACATCCGATAAAAGCCTTCATTAGAAAAGGCTTTATATTACTACAGTCTCATTTACACAGAAATTAAATGATTATTCCTGTTTAAAAAGCAGTATATTGTATTCCTACCTTCTCTGTAACAGAAAAGCTACAACATGATTATAAACCACCAAAACATTGATCTACCTAAAACACAGCCCTTCTCCTTTCAACTGCATGGGTCAAAACCTACAATATATCACAGTTGCTAATAGAAGAATGTCTAAATTCCTTAACCTGGAAACTAAAGTCCACTGACTGCCGAGGGGGGTTCATTCAAGCAAAACATGGTAACTACTTGTATCCACCCCTTCTCTTCCCTATAGCAAAGTCAGAGGTGAGCAGCTGACCAGAAAAAGAGAACTTTGTATCAAATAGGCCCAAGTAGTTATCAGAACAGCCCAAGGCATGTTTTTGAAAGTTTCCTAGGTAATTCTGATGTGACCCTTAATTGAAAACCACTGATACAATTTCATCCCATTCTCCTATTCATACTTTCTGCTAACCAAATAAGCCTTGCATTTCCCACTTCAGCTCATACCTCTCACCTCCGCGCGCGAGCGCTCACACACACACACACACACACACACACACACACAGAAAAAAAAGAAAAATTTACCCATTGTTCATTTCTTTTCTATATATTTGTCCTTCTTCAAAATTCATTTCAAATTCAACTTATCCACAAAAGCCTCAGTTCTGAAG